CTTTCTTTCTCTCCTTTTTTTTTTTTTTTTTTTTTTTAATCATGATCAATCAATCAATCAATCAATCAAAATCAATCGCTGGTTGATTGATTGACCGAATGGGTCAGGGTCGGGGTCGGGGAGGGTCGGGACTCTCTCTTGATACTCCCCCAAACCCGACCCTCCTCCTGTCTCTCCTCAACCTCCTCCTCCTTATCCTCATATTCCTCCTCCTCTTCCTCCACCATATCTCTCCTCCTCCTCCTCCTCCTTCTCCGCCATATCTCTCTCCTTCCACCTGTTATCCTTCGCCATCCTCCTCTGCTTGTCCTTCTTCTTCCTCCTCCTTCTCCTCCTCCGCCATATGTCTCTCCTCCTCCTCCTTCTCCTCTTCCACCTGTTCCCTTTCCTCCTCCTCCTCCGCTTCTCCTTCTTCATCGTCCTCCTCCTCCTCCTCCAGATCTATCTCCTCCTCGTCCTCCTCCTCTGCCATATTTCTTGCGCCCTCCTCCTCCTCCCCCCCTCGTGTCATTTCTTCTTCTTCTTCTTCTTCTTCTTCTTCTTCTTCGTCTTCTTCTTCTTCTTCTTCTTCTTCTTCTTCTTCTTCTTCTTTTTGTTTTTCTGCTTCTTCTTCTTCTTCTTCTTCTTTGTCTTCTCTTCTTCATGTTCTTCTTTTTCTTTCACCACCTCCTTCGACCCGACTCCTCCTCGTGGTCGTCCTCTCGCCATCCCGAATCATATTCTTCTTCTTCTTCTTCTTCTTCTTCTTCTTCTTCTTCTTTTCTGCCATAATGACCTTCATCCTCCTCCTCTTCCTCTTATCCTTCTTCCTTCTCCTCCTTCTCCTCTTCTCCTTCTTCTTCCTCCTCCTCTTCCCCTTCTTTCTCCTACTACTCCTCCTCCTCCTCCTCTCCCTCCTTCTCCTCCTCCTAAATTAAATGCAGCGCGCCATAATGACCTTCGTCCTCCTCCTCCTCTTCTCCTTTTTCCTCCTCCTTCTCCTCTCCCTCCTCTTCCTCCTCGTCCTCGTCCTCTTCCATATCTCTCTCCTCTTCCTCCTCCTTCTCCGCCATATCTCTCTCCACCTCCTCCTTCACCTCTCCCACCTGTTTTTCTCCCTCCTCCTCCTCAGCCTCCTCTTTTCCTCCTCCTCTTCCTCCTCCTTCTCTTCTTCATCCTTTCCCTCCACCACCATATCTCTTGCGCCCTCCTCCTCCTCCTCGCCCCTGGGCCATTCTTCTTCTTCAAGTTTTTCTTCTACAAGTGCTTCTTTTCTATCCACTTCCTCTGACCCGGCTCGTTCTCGTCCTCGTCCTCCTGCTCTGCTTCTCCTTCTTCTTCCTCCTCCTCCTCCTCTGCCATATCTCTCTCCTCCTCCTTCTATTCCACCTACTCTCCTTCCTCCTCCTCCTCTGCTTTTCCTTCTTCCTCGTCCTCCTCCTTCGTTAGATCTCTCTCCTCCTCCTCCTCCTCTTCTCCTTTTTCCTTGCCCTCCTCCTTCTCTCCCTCCTCCTCATCCTCCTAATGCAGCGCGCCATAATGACCTTCGTCCTCCTCCTCCTCCTCTTCTCCTTCTTCCTCCTCCTCCTCCTCTTCTCCCTCCTCTTGCTCCTCTTCCTCCTCTTCCTTCTCTTCCTCCTCTTCCTCCCTCTTCCTCCTCTTCCTCCTTTTCCTCATTGTCGTCCTCCGTTATATCTCTCTCCTCCTCCTCCTCCTTCTTCGCCATATTTCTCTCCTCTCCTCCTCTCGTATCTCTGTCCTCGTTCTCCGCCATACCTCTCTCCTCCTCCAACTTCACCTCTTCCACCTGTTTTCCTTCCTCCTCCTCCGCCTCCCTCTTTTTCCTCCTCCTCCTCCTCCTCCTCCTCGCCCCCGGACCATTCTTCTTCTTCAAGTTCTTCTTCTACAAGTGCTTTTTTTTTGTCCACTTTCTCCGACCCTGCTCGTTCTTCTCCTCGTCCTCCTCCTCTGCTTCTCCTTCCTCTTCCTTCTCCTCCTCTGCCATATCTCTCTCCTCCTCCTTCTCCTCTTCCACCTGTTCTCCTTCCTCCTCCTCCTCTGCTTCTCCTTCTTCCTCGTCCTCCTCCTTCTTTGCCAGATCTCTCTCCTCCTCCTCCTCTTCTCCTTCTTCCTCGTTCTCCTTCTCCTCTCCCTCCTCCTCATCCTCCTAATCATGCAGTGCGCCATAATGATATTCGTCCTCCTCCTCCTCCACTTCTCCTTCTTCCTCCTCCTCCTCCTCCTCTCCCTCCTCTTCCTCCTCTTCCTCATCGTCCTCCTCCGCCATATCTCTCTCCTCCTCCTCCTTCTCCGCCAAATCTTTCTCCTCCTCCTCCTCCTTCTCTGCTATATCTCTCTCCTCCTCCTTCTTCGTTATATCTTTCTTCTCCTCCTTCTCCGCTATATCTCTCTCCTCCTCCTCCTCCTTCTCTTCCATATCTCTCTCCTCCTTCTCCTTCACCTCTTCCACCTGTTTTCCTTCCCCCTCCTCCTCTTCCTCATCCTTCCCCTCCACCACCATATCTCTTGCACCCTCCTCCTCCTCCTCCTCCTCCTCCTCCTCCTCGCCCCCAAGCGCACTCAGATGTTGGGGAGGTTTGGACCCCCTTTTAGCCGGTATTGGCCTCTCGCAAGCCTACCGGGTATGTCCATGTGTGTTTGACTGTCACTGTGACACTGTGTGTGTGTGTGTGTGTGTGTGTGTGTGTGTGTGTGTGTGTGTGTGTGAGTGAGAGAGAGAGAGAGAGAGAAAGAGAGAGAAAAAGCGAGGTGGGAGTGAACAGCTTGAGCATTGAGGGGTGTGTGAGTCTGTGTATGTGTGTGTGTGTGTGTATGTGTGTGTGTGTGTGTGTGTGTGTGTGTGTGTG